TGAAAATGTCTGGAAATGAGTTCTCAATACTAATTAAATGCTATTGTGGCTGATGAGAATTAACTGAAATTACTGTTACCGTCTCTAGCAGTCATAATAAAAAGACATGCCTTGTGTTTATCTATGTAATTCAAAGACTGGTCAGCAAGCAAATTTGCAAGATGTTTTTAAGAAAAAATGAATTTCATTAAAGAGTAAATATGTTCTAACTTCTTTTCTTTTCTTTTTTTCCTTTGGTGTTTTTTTGGTTTTTGTTTTTGTTTTTTGAGATGGAATCTTGCTCTGTTGCCCAGGCTGGAGTGCAGTGGCGTGATCTCAGCTCACTGCAACCTCCGCTTCCCAGTTTCAAGTAATTCTCCAGCCTCAGGCTCTCAAGCAGCTGGGACTACAGGCTCTAATTTCTTAACTTTTTCTTTTTTTGTCTTTTTCCTGCAAATAATCAGAATGCATACTGTTGGATTAGCATGGTGCATTTCCAGTGTCATCAGGTACATATAAAGAGGATTATTTTTGTTATTTTGGACCAATTTCACGCAGCTACTTCTGTATGCAGGCTGTCTGTTTTCAGCAATAGCACATGTGGTTTCAGATATTCACTGAATTTTTCATTGAATTACAAGTTGTTACTCTTCCATCTGCAATAATATTAGTTAATTTGTTAAGTGTTCTCACCAGTGGTTTTGGCCAGACTTTCTTTTATTGTATTACTTTTCATCTACCTTTCTTTCTAAAACTTTATAACTCTCTGGGACACATTTTGCCAATTGAATTTTTTTCTCCATAAATGCCAACAAGCTGGTAAAACACAGAGACAGCAAGAACATTTTTTATATTTAAAAAATAAAACTATAGCATTCACTTTGCAATGAGATGACGTGTCTAGAAGGGTTGTCATTGTAAACTAGGGAAAGTCTGATGATAGACAACTGAAACCCATCCATTTGTAAAGTTGTGATATATACCCCAAAAATGTATTGTGCCAGGTATATAGCACTGGTAATTAAAATTATAAATTTACTTTTTGGGTGTCTCACATATTTATCTTTAAAGATTTCATTGAGTGAAGCTGTTTATCAATAGAAAATATGCCCAGGTTTTTCTAAACCAGTATTCTGAATTGATATTGGCAATTCCCCAATTTTAAAACATAAAACTGTTTTATTTCTAAAAATTTACCAAGCCCATATTCTGGTTTAATGCTTTTTGCCCATAACCGCAAGTATTTTAAATATTTTCTCTCTTCCTTTTGTCTTTTCTCAAGGAATCAATATCTTATTTTTTTCTATTCAACTTTTTCTTCTTTTTCTCTCTCTCCCTTTTTCTAACCCATTCATTCTAATGTGGGAACTATCAGATCTCAGCTTTTTATAACGCCGTAAACACAGGTTTTAAAAAATAAACTTTTCCTGTAATTTTTTATGACATTGTAGTCTTAACTGATGCACAGTCAGCCTTCCAAGGCACAGAAAGCAATAGACTAATTATTTTCCCTCTGGAGGATAAGAATTTCCAGGCTTCACATGTCTTCACTTATCAGTGGGAGCTAAATGATGAGAATTCACGAACACAAAGAGGGGAACGACAGATACTGGGGCCTACGTGAGGGTTGAGGGTGGGAGGAGGGAGAGGAGCAGAAAAGATAACTATAGGGTACTGGGCTTAATACCTGAGTGATGAAATAATCTGTAAAACAAAGTCCCGTGACACAAGTTCACCTATATAACAAACCTTCACATGTACCCCCAACCTAAAATAATAGTTTTTTTAAAATAATTACCAGATTTCCAGCAAAATATTGAAAATTTACTCCTCAAAGCCCTAGTTCCTTTCTAAAACTAATTCCAAGTTTTATGGGTTTTACTGATTTTTGTTTTGTTTTGTTTTTTGAGACAGAGTCTTGCTCTGTTGCCCAGGCTGGCGTGCAATGGCATGATCTCGGCTCACTGCAATCTCCACCTTCCGGGTTCAAGCCGTGCTTGTGCCTCAGCCTCCCAAGTAGCTGGGATCTCAGGTGTGTGCCACCATACCCAGCTAATTTTTAAAAATATATTTTTAGTAGAGATGGGGTTTTGCCATGTTACCGAGGCTGGTCTTGAACTCCTGGCCTCAAGTGGTCTGCTCACCTCTGCCTCCCAAAGTGCTGGGATTGTAGGCATGAGCCACCACTGCCAGCCCCAAGTTGTATGATTTATTGATTACTTGTAGCATCCCACTTCCAGGTAGCAAACTCTGTATTAGACTTTCTATCAGTTAGATCTACTGCTGCGTATAATAATAAACATTAGTTTAAACAAAATAGAAATTTATTTTTCTCTTACATAAAATAAGTCTGAAGAGAGGAAGTTCAGAGGCTTCTTTCTTATCTGTGATCTACAAGGTCATCTCAAGACCCAAGACAGTGCTGAGCTCTGGAATATCCACATTCCAGTCACCAAGAAGGGTCAAAACAGGTTCCTATAGGCTGCATTAGTTCTTTTGAGGAACCTCTCAGAATTTCCACACAACAGTTCCACTTACATCTCATTGACTCATAAGCCACATAGGCCACAATAGCACAAAAAGAGACTGAGAATTTGTTGTTAGTCTGCAGAAGAATAGTCCTACAAATGTAGGATTCTGCTACCGAGGAAGAAGGAAAGAGTAACTTTAGAAAGTAAGAGTCCCTGACACAATGTTCATTATAATTTTCTTTATAATAGTAGAATATTGGAAATAGCCTAAAAGACATGGAGTATAAATGGTTAAATGAAACCCAGAATGTGCATATATTAAGTACTGTCTTAAAATTTAAAGTATGGTTTGCTATTTATTGACATGGAAAGTAATCTATGATACATTTCAAATTTATTTAAAAGCATCTCTAATATGAGCCCATAGGTAAAATCAAATGTCTGAAGTGATTTTCTTAATGTTGACAGGGGTTAGAGAACCACTGAGGTTAATACATTTTGCATAATTTTACTTTCTTCTCTACGTTTTTCTGTATGTTTTGAATTTTTAAAATGAGCATACACTGTTTACATGATTACTGTGGAAATAAAAGGGCACTGAACAAATTCATCTTCAATAACTTAAAAAAAGTCAATCTGCAAAACTTTCTGTGTGCACACCAATCTTCAACCAGTTGGGTTTTTAAGCTGCCCTTATGACATTTACCAGTTTCATAATAATAATATTAAGTGCACTGATTGTCAATCTTCAGTAACTGATAGTGAAAACAGTTTATCAAAATCCTTATTTGCTTTTATTGTCTTGGACTTTTCACTCCAGCTAATTTGAGTTTTGCACCACTTCTTCTTCTCCATGAATTTTTAATATGGTGTCCAGTAGAAAAGAAATTTTTATGAATACCTTCTGTATGTTTGTGCAAGTAAGTTTTAATTGCAGTGATTAATTATTTCATTGCCCCTATTTTCATTCTGTCAGTTATAATCATACTTGGGACTTTGTCACTAAGAGGTAAACAGGACATTTGAAATCTGTCTGCCTTTTATACATGAACATTAAGCCCTTTGCCTCATTCCCTTTATCTCTGAAATGGGTAGAATAATGAATCTTTTACTTTCCTCAGAGGATATTGTGAAAGTAAAATGAGATAATTCATGGGAAATGTTTTCCAAAGTTAAAAGTAGCACATATAGTAATGGGACAGACTGACTTATCTTAGAATCAAGGGATTTATGTAACATTGGGTTTTTTAAGCAGCAGTAATAGTCTTTGGTATTGCCCACAGCACCTGCAGCCGGTGTGGCCAAACAGGTTGGTTGCTACTTCAAAGGGCAGCAGTAAATTGAGGAAGGCAGGTGTTATAAGAATAAAGACTAAGTCACTCATCCAGAAATCCACCATGAAAAAAGCAGCCAGAATTTCTTCCATCATTTTCTTGCACTGAGTGGGTAAACCCTAATTTATCATGTAAGTTGTATTGCATTAAAGGATTTTTAAAAATAGATTATCTGTGATTTTCTTAAAATATCAATTTGTAAGAAGTTCATTAATTCCACACGGTGTAGAACTAAGCATTTTAAATTCCTTCCAAGAGAAAAGATCCCCAAAGATTAAGAGCAAATATCTCTTTTTTATTTAATTAAATCAAAAACATAGCCTGCTTAGAAAAGTGGTCACTCTGAACACACACACACACACACACACACACACACATACACACACACATGCTATTATATCCTCCCCTTTGAAATGACATCTGTCTTAACGTTCATTTTCACAGGTGGAGAAAATTGAGGGTGCAGCGTTCTGAGACTGTCATTAGTTGCAGCTGAATTTCCTCTGAACTAAATTGAATTAAGTAGTGCTAGAGAGACACTGGGGGCTCCTCTTTGCTTGGGTCTCCTGTTTAGCACCAGGATAAGCTCATATTGCCTTGATAATGAAAGCAAAACCCTTTTTTAATGTTCAAAAGGGTGATTGAAGCTTATTAATTTATTATGGTTTTAGTGAATTGTGGTTTCCTTTACCACATAGATGAGTTTCTCATTTTTCTTTTTCATACTAAAGGGATTTTGTGAACTCCATATAATAGTGAACCCTTTATAATACTCCACGTGTATATAGAGTTGTTTCCCAACATTTTAAGCTTCCTCATATGTCTCCCAGCCCTGTTTGTGAGCTTTGTCTACTTTGAGGAGAGGCTTTATATCAGTGGTAGAGACACGATTGGCAATGGATTTTGAAGTATGTTCTGTTACCCCATACACATACATTAACCCAGGATCACTTTCTGGATAATTTGATGACCTGAGTAACTGCCCTGGGCTTCAGCCATCACATTGAGGCCTTCTCCAAATACCTCCTTTGCATCTTAATATTTCCATTTCTAAAATGTTTTAGACTTTCCATATACCACTGGGATATTTACATAGGACTTACTTGAAATTTGCTGACAAAACTTCATCTTTGTAACATTTTAGCTTAAAGCAATATTGTGTTTTGTTGTTATTGTTATAATAATGACTAAAATTTGTTTTCTCCCTTGTTTTTAGTTCTACGAGTACCGTGTCTTACATGGATGAACCTAGTCAGCGTGATGATGTCTCTCGCCTTACAGTTCAGATGGAAAACAGCTATCAATTGGGTGTGTTCTTTTATCTCTCACTCCTATTTTAAACTTCTAAACTGGTGACTGATGCTTTTAAAAATGATATTTGATAACCTGGCATTGTCTTCAATTCTAGCACCATATAAGGGACTTTAATGAATTGAGTGATTTGATGTTGCTTTAATTTCTTCCTCAGCAGAATGGTAGCAACACCCGCTATCTTACTTTTCTTTACTAATGTTTCCCAAATGCCAAGCAATTCACTGGGTGGCACTGATATATACAGCATACTACTGACTTAACAAATTCACTGAGTATTTCTGGGTACATAGAGAGATATGACTTAAATGAAAGAGATAAGTTTTGATGTTTTAGCCAACAAAACCAATCAGTGTTGTTAATAGGTGAAGAAAAAAAAAAAAAACTCAAAGCAAAGGTAAATGACTCATAGTCCCCTGTTGACAGAGATGTTTATCCATTACCACTGAGGTTTTGAGTCTTTGAAAACAAAGATCTTTGCACCTGCCCCTATACTCCCAAGTGGAGTCCACGGCAAATAACTTTTCCCACCCATGTTTCCTCATAGACCCACTTGTTTTCTCTAAACGCATACCTGCCCACTATTATCTGAATTCATATATAATTACTGCTATATAGAAATTCCACAGAGATTTACCAAGGGGCAAAGGAAGACTCTATGGGCCAAGGTGATTCCATCTGTGGCCAGTTAACCCCCAAGAAAAGTATAGACCATCAGCATGTCCCCTTCGGCCTTGTAGCCAGTTTTCTACAGGAATCCCCAAGACTACATAGATTACACGGCTCCATAATTAGCCAATCTACTGGTATTTTCACAGTGCCTGTGGCCGACAGCTAATATTCCTGCCATCCAATATACTTTTATACTTCTCTGGTAACTTTACTAAATTTCCTTTGAAATTCCACCATTGTCACCACTTTTGATCCTAGCATTCTGATGAAGCTGGCACTGGCTTTATAGATAGAGCAGTGACTGATTCTAGGATGGCATATAACCATGGTCAATCCAATCAAAGCCTTTGAGATTAAATTCAGAAAATGTTGTTTGGCCTGTTGCAGAAGAACATAAAGCCCTGAAACTTGAAGGAATATAGGGGCTCTGGCAGTGTCTGCCATCTTGCCCTGACTTGAAACTGAGAGAGAACAACAGAATCCTGATGGCATCATTTGAGTCCTAAATCCAGTTGACTACCCTTTAACTTTTCAGTTAGGCAAGCTAAGTTTGGGTCAGGTTTTCCCTCACTTGCAGCTAAAAGTTCTTAGCCATAAGGTGTCTATGACTTTGAGCTGTGCATGCTGGAAGGGTTTGAATCAGATTTCAACAAGATAAGGCAGGTGAAATGTGAATCCCTATGTTTCTACATAAGGATATTTTTTGCAACTTGTTTTCTCAAATAAAGCATCTTATCAGTTTTAGAAGTACTGAGTATGAACCACATTAGAAAAGTAATTTTAGAAAAAGCTTAGTATAGATGAAATATACCCATATTTTCCTACAATAGTCTATGTGAATTTTTAAATAATTAAAGTATTTTATGCTTGACAATTCACTTTTTAAAGCATTCAACCATCCATTTTATTAATACTTAATCAAAACTGTATTTCCACTTCTACTTGTTTCTGGGTTTATTTAACATAAGAAAGGTATTTTGTGGATGTATTAGTCCATTTTGCATTGCTATAAAGAAATACCTGAGACTGTAATTTATAAAGAAAAGGGGTTTATTTGGCTCATGGTTCTAGAGACTATACAGGAAGCGTGGTGCCAACATCTGCTTCTGGTAAGACCTCAGTAAGATTTTAGGCATGGCAGAAGGGAAGGAGAGTTGGCGTGTCACATGGCAAGAGAGGGAACAAGAGAGAGGCCAGGCTGTTTTAAACACCCAGCTCTCATGTAACCTAATAGAGGGAGAACTATAGAGCAAGAACTCAGTTACTACCGCTGGGACAGCACCAAGCCATTCATGAGGGATCTACCTTCCTGGCCCCAACACCTCCCACCAGGCCCCACCTCCAACACTGGGGATCGCATTTCAATATGAGATTTGAAGGGGACAAATATCCAAACTATATCAGTGGGACTTTGGTAAAGAGTTTATCATATCTTTACAATGTAATGCTGGCCAGAAAAGTGGAAGGAAATATCAGCCAATCACCAGCACTATTATGTTTAATTAATTTTTCATTCTGTTTGATAAGGTTTGCATCATCTAAACACATCTTAAATGAGAGCATTTATGTAAATAATTACAACTAAAAAAATGAGATGAAGCATGAGTAAAATTCATGAAAGGAAAAAAGGGTATAGAAAAGGAAACTGTGTTTCTTATAATAAAATACCATTTACATACTCCTCATTAATTACTAAAACAAATATCAAAGAAAATGCAGGCTGTAGCATCTGTCATATCTGAATTTGAATACCAATTTTGCTAATTCCTTGAGCAAGGTATTTAGCATCATTGAATCTCAGTTTCTTCACTTATAAATAGGGATAATAGTCTATACATCATAGGGATGCTAGGTAATTACATCAAATGATGTAATATGTTTAAATCTCTCCATTCATCATGATACTACTCCTGAATGTGACTGACTCAAGGACCTTACTATAGATCACTAAGAATAAAAACCTTCCATGATATTCATTGTAACTTAATGTTAATTATGGAATAAGTTTTCCACAGGACTTTTTCTGGAACTATGAGTATAGTGGCACCTGGTCGTTTACAAACATGGACTGAGAGCACCAGGCCAGACTAGAACTATTGGTGGCCATCTTTGCTACTACATCAAGACAGCCTGCCTTGAGAATGAAGCCAGCACAGTGGAAAGTAGATTCAAAATACTGAGAGAGAGAGAGATTATTTGAGTTCAGCTTCCACAAAGTACTCAGGCCCTGTCTCTATGTCAGGTTTTCTTAGACCCTGTCAATCTCTCAGCATTGATTTTGCACCACCCCATGGGGTCCTTCCCAACCCTGCAGGCCTCACTGTCTCCCAACTTACGTCCTCTTTCATCTTGCTACCTTCTCAGCAAGGTGAATCCCCAATTCTTCCTTCAACATGCAATAATTACAATAACAGCAATAACACTAATAAGATCACATATCTAAGGAGTGTTTTATTGTGTGACAAGTACTGTTCTAAATATATTCAATATATTGTCTCATTTAATTCTAACAAAAAAAATATGTAGTAATTCTTATTATTACCCCAATTTGGGATAGTGGAGGCCCACATACATTAAGTAACCTTATCTTTATCTAATTTTTAAGGACAAGTTTTGTTTGTTTTTAAAATTTTTTTTGTCCGGATCCTTCAGGTCTTTGCCTTTTGATTTCTAAAACATGTTTTTTCTCCTAAGGAAAAAAAATCTCAAAAGAGAAGAAAAGCTTTGCCATTCACATCAGTTGACTCTGAAAGTAGTTTTAGGAGCTTATTTCAGAAGTCAAAAGCTGAACATTGATGGATGATTCTGGATGTTTAGGGGAAAGGTAACAAAGAAGTAAGAAAAGAATATTTTATTACCATATTTCAAAGTATTTTCAAAACAGAATCTGGTTAATGACTTTTTTTTTAAATCCAAGCAAAGTGTGGAAAGGACATTGGTAGCACTGTACAATGGAACTACTGGAAACAGACTCAAGTGCCACCAGGACCCTCTTTCCAGCACTAACCTGTGTGCACTTTCTTCTGTTTGGGTGGCCTGGCCTCCTTTCCACCATGAAAAACATGGTCTCCAGCAGGTCCTCAGAGTCACATGGTAACTTTTGCCACCAGAAAGAGGCTGACTCTTTTTTCCTACTCGCAGTTTAAAATAAAAATTCCAAGAAAAGACTCTCATTGTCCTGGCCCAGAGCATTGTTACCCCTGGGTCAATCAACCAGGCCCTAGGCTTGGGTTTGCAGGAGGTGATGGGGAGATCTCTAAGAACCACTTTACCTATCCAGATTCATTCTCCACCCCCACCCTGCCATGATTTAAATGGAATTCAACAATTTCTATATTATCATGAAAATAAAAATACCATTTATAGAACCTCAAGAGGCTCACCTAACTGAACTGCAGTCAAAGGGCTATAACCTTCTGGTTAAGTTCCGCCAGTGGGAAACCTCAGCAGAGAGGCAGAGGGAGTGAGAAGTGTGAGGTGGAGCTGTTTATTTCCCTGGCTCCTGCCTGTGAGTTCATCACAGCCTGGTTACATTCCTCAACCAAAGGACAGAAACTGCTCCCAGGGGAGCCCTCTCCACACCACCCTTCCGGGATCTATTAAAAACTCTTCCTCTATTCCCCAATCTTGGGGTTGGGGGTGGGCTGACAACGTTACTTTCACTGGCTGAGGGCTACTGCACTATCCCTTGTGATTTTCTACATCCCACTCAGAACTTCCTCCTGGCATTATTTTAACTATAGGGTGCCATATGTTTCCTTTGACCCTGACAGATACAGTCATCCCAAACAAACACTTATAAATAGATATTGACAACTATTAAAAGAGAATTGAATAGAATTCTTGATCTCATTCCTTCATCTTTATCAATTCAACAAATAATGATTGGACTTCTCTATGCCAAGCCCCGGGCACATGTTCATGTCATGCAATGACATTAGTATATGACCAAAGTGATGATATGGCTAATATTCCTGGGATGCAGGATAAAGAAGATTCATCTGAAGCTTCTCCTCTGAACGTGGATGAAGTGTGGTTGAGAATATAAGCTCTAGCATCAGATAAACCTGGGTGTGCAGCCCAGCTCTGCCTCTGTGTGTGATTCTGGGCAGGTTACTCAATGTATTTAAATCTGTTTCCCCACCTGCCAAATGGAGATAACAGTGAGATTCACCTCAGAGATCTATTGGAAGACTATATAAGGTAATATGAAGTGCTTATCACACTGCCTGACACGTAGCAAAAGCTTAATAAAAAGTATTCATTATTATATATGTATACAATATATAATCATATATCATATATAGTGATTATTATCTATAAAATTTGTAATTCTATTTAAATTCAGAAATCATACATTAAAAATTTCTTATGCCTTTAGCATTGTATTAGACTCTGAGGAGGAAAAAATCCGAGCTTGCTTACCATATAACTGGAAACGCAGGTATGCTTTAGCCAACATCAAGTGGATTAGGAGCCAGGATGGCAGTGGGGACCCAGTGCATGGAAAGCAGGGACATTGTCCCAAAGCAGGGACATTTTTACCTGACAGGAGATAGAGTGCTACCTGGAGAAAAAGACATTTGAGATGGTCTTGAAACATGAGTGGCTGTTTCTCAGATGAACAAGATGGGGAAAGGTATTCCATTTGAAAACAAAAGAGCAAGAGTAAAGACACAGGAGCACCTTTACAGGCAGATGAAGCCTGTGAGGCTGGAGCAGTCTGCAAGTGGGGCACTGTGGTAGCGGAAGAAGGGGCCATAGGGAACCACAACTTAGACCTGGCTAAGGGGAATATCACTTAAGATCTGGTAGATAGATTGGAGCAGTAGATACAAGAGGCAGAGAGCCAGTTAGAAAGCTGTTGAGACTTTGAAGTATATCCCTAACAATGGGGCCTGGGAAGGAAGAGACTTTCAAGGTCAAACCCCAGCAATATTGAACACATTTTTGAGATGGTCAGGTAAATGTATGAAAATATTGTTTTCTTCTCCCAGAGCACTTGACAGGAAATCTAATTACAGCCACTTGTTTCTTTTAATAGAGTCCACCCACAAGATTAAATCCCTCCACGTTTCAATACTCTTTTGATTAGACTATGGGGTGGGTGGGTATGATTTGAAATGACCTTTTAGAAATAAATTTTATGTGTATTTTCAGGTCCTCCCAAACATTTTCCTGTGGTCATTGTCAATCATATTTTGAAAGATGTGTTAACCAGCTATCTACAAGTAGAAGAATATGAACCAGAGCTCTGTAGACAGATGACTAAAACCATTTCTGAGGTACACGTGTGATTTGCCCAAAGTGTTAACATTGGCTAGAATATTTGCTAAAGTACAATGAACCCTCTACTTTTTTGATGAGGGGAATTAATTTGCAGTAACAGTTAAAATGCATATTTATAATTAGGTCATATTCTACATATATCAGTGTGTGTGTGTGTGTGTGTGCGCGCATGTGTGTGTATACATAAAACCTTTGTCTAAAACAATCATATGCATCATTTGCATGCATTATGTAAAATTGTATAAAACTGCCCCATTTATAAAAGTGTTTATTATAAAAGATACAACATTTCAATGATTATTTTCTCTTCACTAAGGCAGCTTCTTTGAGTGCCATCAAATACAGACTTTAAGCATGTTTCTATTTTTACCAACCCCAGGGCTGGAACTTCATCAAGGTTTTCTCTACTCTCTTTTTTATAACAAACTCTTTAATAAACATTAATGATTAGTTATATTACAGAAGACTCCAGATGTATGATTCCTTAATTAGACATGAATAAGACAGTGCAACTCCAATGCCAACATTCTTTGACATGAAGCCATCTTAACATAAATTTTCAAAGAATGTAATTTATTAAATTCTGTGCTCTGGATTATAATTATTTCGTGTATCTTAGAAAAGGTAGATTTATTGCTGGTGTTATGATTTTGTCCCTGAATGTTCTATCTCAAGAGGACCATGCTTGAAGGGAATCATAGTTATGGTTCTACAACAATTACTCAAAGTATCTACAATGTATCATGCTATTAAATTAAATCCCCTATATTTATAACAAAGGTTAATACTTTTGAGTTTCAATGTGGCTAAATGAAGACCCTCCCTTTTTTTACATTTCTAGGTTATTAAAGCCCGGGTCAAGGACTTGATGATTCCACGATATAAACTAATTGTGATTGTTCACATTGGACAACTGAACAGGCAGAGCATACTTATTGGAAGCAGATGCCTCTGGGATCCTAAAAATGATACCTTTTCATCTTACGTTTTCAGAAATTCTTCTCTTTTCGCTCTTGCAAATGTCTATGCAGTTTACCTTGAGTGACTGAAAAAAAGAAATCTAGCTCTTACTTTTGAAAATCCTGAGGCAGACTGTATGTCTGTATACAAAAGTTTGACTGCCAAAACCTTTGAGAAAGAAACAACACGGATATTTCAAGCAACTGGAAGCTTTTGAATTTTTTCATATTCTAGTAAAGATTGGGGGCGGGGAGAATAGCACAGAAAGAATCTTGTTTTTCTAAAGCAGGAACGTGGTCTTGGTTTTGCTGGATTGTTTTCCATAGACATAGATTCTTATTAAATATTTGTTTTGGTACTAATTATTTTAATTATTCTTTAATTAAAGAGTTACAATTTCCTGCATTGTTTTTTAATAAAGAAAAGCTTTAGAAAAACTATGGCTATATACCCTGACCAATAAATGATAGCAGAATATTCAACATGGGAACACACAAATGATAAATAATATGCCTCAGTGCTGCATATAAAAGAATACTGGGTTTCATTTTGTGCTTAATAAATTGAGCAGCATTCATTAAGTGCAATTATTGTTACATGTACCTGACAGTTGAAACTGCTGAGGTAGAATTAATGGCTTCATAACAATTATCGTGGTCCCACGGGCTGCAAGCTAAAACTAGAAGCTCTTGTGACTTGCCTGCACTTTACACAACTGTGGGAGAACTGAATGTTGGCTCTTCAGTAATGGAAACTATAAAGTGAATAAAGGCTTTTTGGGGCACTGAAGTAGACATTGTGATATTAAATATACATGATGCTTAATACTAAATGTGTCTGTAACACATAAAATCATTTATTGGAAAGAGACATCGTTTTTAAATATCCTGAGCTAACAAACTTTTTCACAAAATATATAGCTGGCACCTTAACAAATAAAGCATGTGTATTTACCATTTTACTCCTATCAATTTAATACTAAAGTGACCCAGTGAGGATTTGAATAGATGGGCGCTAAAATTTACAGGGCTGAAATAGCTTATTATTCTGCTGGTTAATGTATCTTATGCCACGGATCATTTATTTTTATGAAGCTTTCAAGTCTTTGTGTGCAAGTAAAATGATGTTGTGGCGTTGTTCTTGGATGGTAAGTGGACTGCCTAGAGGACATTTATTAAAGGTCAAAGACAAATTGTACACATATGGAGCAAATTAGCAATGCTGTAGTCTTAAGGAAAAAATAATTTGTCATTCATATCAAAAAGAGTTTAGCGAATGGAACACCAGTCAATGCTTTCATTTTAAAATGTTTTGGTGTCTTACTTTTCCCCCAAAAACGACATATAGTAAAAAATTGACACTTTTAAAATCCCTTTCTTTCTGCTATTGTCTGGCTTTTAAAGTGATTATTCCAAATGAATTTGTCAATTTCCACTATTTTTTTCCTGTTAGTGCATTAGTGGGAATATGTCTATGTAATAATTTATCACAACCAATATTTGTCAATCTCCACAGACCGGTTTTCAATCTGGATTAGATTACAAGTATAATAAGTAAATGAGCTTCATATTTTCATGACACATTTGTGAACATCTACCTTCATGGAACGACAGCGGGGGTAATCATATCACAACTTTGTATGAATAAATCAAAATGAAGAAACTTCTTTAACATACAGAAAGTCTATTGTAACAATGACTGTTTCAGAGTTCTAAATTCTAATCCACGAGATAATTTCTTACCATCTTCCCCAGGCTGTGTTGAGAATCGAAACTGCCAAACATGATGGCAGTTAAAAAACAAAAAAGAAAGCAGTTTGCCAGCATATTGCCACGCACTGTAATTCAGATACTCAATGATGAATTCTAGCAACTATATAGCAGTATAAGAATACACAGTAAAAACTCACTCATTGCAACTAACTTGGGAGAAGCTAGTTATCACACAGAACCTTATCATGAGAAATTTTTAAAGAAATTATCACACAGAACCTTATCATGAGAAATTTTGAAAGAAATGACATTATAAATTTGAAGGAATTCTTTTACTTTGAAACACCCTGAACTTCCCTGGTATTTTTTTCCTCTCCTACAGTGCCATCCTTCTTCCCAGACCAGCCATGCCCATCCCTGCCCCAGAGCCTTCACTCATGCTTTCCTACCTCAGAACACCCCCCTCCCACTTAAGCAACTTTCTTCACTTTTCAGGGTCACATTCAAGTCTCACCTTTTTTCTCAGTCCTTCTCTATTCATTGCTTGCCTCCTGCTCCCTCTCTCTCCTCTGATCATTCTCATGGTCGAGCTAACTTTTGAATTTTTGTTTTGTTTCTTTTACTATTAATAGATTGAAGACGTATTGAGGACACTGACCACATAACTTGACAGTGCCTAGCAATAAAAATCATTTTTACTTTTAACGTTATCATTATGTTCATTGCACTGTGCTACATAACTCCCAGCTGCACAGATAATAGCAAACACAGTTCAACCCCTGAGGAACCAGGATCATATAGGGGTGAAAATAGAAGTACACAAGTGACCACAGTATAGGCTCAAATATGTTGTCATAAGAAAAATCCAGAATATCTTTATCCAATTAATGGAATCGTGGAAGCCTTCATGAAAGGAAAGAAAATGTAAGCTAGACTGTGAAGGAGAGATTAGAATTTCAACAGGCAGAAGATTACAGGAAGTCTAGGCTGGATAAAACACAGTGTTCATTAAGATAAGTGGTTAGAACTAAGATTAGAAGAATACGTTGTGAGTATCTGAGTAAGAAAATAAGTAATCATTAAAGGTTTTTCATTAGGCTAACAGTATAAATGAACGGACACTCTAAGAAGATGAATATGTTGGAAAAGAACAGAAAGACTCTTGGGGAGGTGAGAGGTAATAGAGGCTGGAAGAGGCAGTGGCATTGGAAATGGAAAGGAGAGGATAGTTGTATGAGACACTATGGGGGCAAGGTCTACACGAGTAGGCAAGGGGAAGGAGGAGTCAGAAGTGACTCCAACATGATATGAAAAGACAGTTGAAAGTTTCGAGCTCTGAACGTTTGCAGACTTAGGTCTGAGTCCTGCTGTCCCAAGCACAAGTTAAGTGACCTCAAATAAATTACTAATCTCACTAAGCCACAGCTTCTTCATTGTAAAGGAATGATAATACTGGTACCTACCTCATAGGATTTTGGTGATAATTAAAAACATATGTTTGCTAAACCATCATAATTCCTGATAGAAAGCTCTCAATACAGTAGCTCTTATGGTTGCAATTGAAAGTTTCAGTGTGGGTCACTAGTTCAATGAGCCTATTAACAAAAATAAGGAAGTCAGCAGGAAGAATTTGAGGAATAAAATATGAAGTTTGATTTTTCACTTGTTGAATTTAAGTTAATGATGGGATATTAAGATGGGGTTAGCCTCCGGCAGCTGAGAACATGGGGCTGGAGCTGCGCTACGACATCAAGGTGAGAGATTTAGACTTGGCAGTCATCCAGATTGAGACCTAACATCCTCCTGCTTTATAAAATATTCATTAGCAGAATCTTCAGCAAGTATAGTGAGTACTAATAGCAAATTACTAAAAATTCAGTTAACTCTGGGAACATCAGCCAGAAACCACCCCCCAAAAATTAATAGGAACTGTTTTTCCAAAACTAAAATTAAATAATGCCTTCTTTTCTTCATTAAAAAAAAAATCCTAGATGATCCTTTTGTGTTTTCAGACGTCATAAAAAATGTAAGGGTTCTCTCAAAAATACATTAGCATCTTGAATGGAGGTGTCAGTGCTGTCATCTGCTGTCATTGTTAATAAAATGGCTTTAAAGAAAATACATAATAGGAGGTTCTTCCAACAGAGTCCAACAGATTATATGATTATATGTTCGGAAATTAAGTGCTAGTTTAACTCCTTCATTTAAAAAAAAAAAAAAAAAAAAAACTCTTAAGAATTATCCCAGTATACGGGAATGATTTTAAAAACAACGGTTGAGAAATTAGAGCTTGTAAACGTAGCCATCCTAGATAACGAACACACTCTTTGTTAGGACCATCATTTGACTGGTGTTTCTAGATATTACCCAAAAATATATTAAGAAAACTCAGCATTAAATAGTTATTCATAATTTACTATGCATTTTGCTCCCAAAATTGTTATAAAGGAGTGGCCTGCGCCCATTACCTCTGATTTTCTCTGCCACTTCTTTCTATGCTACCTTCACCTTCTGCAATCTAGTTCTCATCCCCACTAATGTGTTCCTTTTTTTTTTTGAGACGTAGTCTCTCTCTGTCGCCCAGGCTGGAGTGCAGTGGCGCGATCTCGGCTCACTGCAAGCTCCGCCTCCCGGGTTTACGCCATTCTCCCGCCTCAGCCTCCCGAGTAGCTGGGACTACAGGCGCCCGCCACCACGCCCGGCTAATTTTTTGTATTTTTAGTAGAGACAGGGTTTCACCTTGTTAGCCAGGATGGTCTTGATCTCCTGACCGCGTGATCCACCCGCTTCGGCCTCCCAAAGCGCTGGGATTACAGGCGTGAGCCACCGCGCCCGGCCTTAATGTATTACTTTCCCGAGTAGTCAAAGTGGTCCCCCAGTTGCATCCACCTCAGCTACCTTCTGAATTCATTTCTTTTGAATGGCATTGTGATATAGATGGTTAGGTTTTGGTCGCTTTTTTTTTTTTTTTTTTAAAGCATAAGTTTGACAAAAGTCTGCTTTAGCTGCCACCCTTACTAGCTGTGTGTGACTTTGGTTTGAGGTGGCTAGTGTCTTGAGCCTTAGTTTCCCCAAAGGTAAAGATGATTATGATTGCTACTTATGTTCCTGTCACGACGACTAAAAGAGAAAGTATGCACAGAATATCTGACCCACAGTAGATGCTTACTCGCAACCTCTAATTTTTTCCTGCAGAAACTCTTCTCTAGAAAATTGAGCAGATAGTTTTGCAATTTCTGCTCACTACCCTAATGTAATACCCTAGATTACATGTTTTTCTTTGATCACCTTTAATCATCTGCTGCTGCCTTCTTTGAATGACAATTTCTTCTCAAGTCCATATTTATTATACAGTCCTATACATCTCCAAATTTAGCTTCTCGTGGCTGATGTCTACCTGTTTTCAAATTTGTTTCATTCAGATGTCTTAATTCTCACTTCAGTACTTTCTTGATTCCTTTGAACATTTTTGTTTACTGCCACCTATTTTATCCTGTTAGCTCCCATTTGAATTTACATATTCCTCTAGTATGTTCATATAGAATAAACATACTAAAGGTTTATTAAGACATTTATCTTAAGTATCTGATTAAAGTCTCCTATAATCTCTTCTCAATTTCTTTCCTGGCCAATTTGAGTACACTTTTTTTAAATTTTAGTGCAGGATATAACTTGAAACTTGTGGTTTTCCACCCACCCACCAGGCTATTTCCCTACCTAGCAAGGCAAAGAACCAGTATAACCAGTACAGGAAGCACTAAGCTTCACTTTACATTTGTGATCAGAAAAGTTTCCCACAGACAATGATGAGGCTGAATCATCTATTAAAAGGACAGAATATCCAGCCCGATTTGTTTAGGGGTTGCTGGGAAATAGTTTTTAAATTCCTATGAAAAATAAGCTTAAAGACTCATAATTTCATTTTGAAACTAAAGGAAAATAAACTGTATGTTGTTGGTTAATTATATAATTATAATTATTTTTTCCTATAAGGAAATGTATTATATAACAAGAACTTTGGTAGGACAGGTGTAATAATTTTTTTTAAATATATAGTTAAATTGCTTGCTTGCATCC